AAAATACTTCATTTATTACAAACCGTATAGGCTGAATTCCATAGAGAGATTCTCTCCGAATTCTAACTTTACTAAAAAAAGCGTTTTCCTAAACCGTTCTTTCTTTTCTTTTACATTTTTCGAGACTGCAGCCGTATGGCCCGTCAAAATAGAAACCTCAGTGGTAGGCAATAAAGACATTGCGGAGAAAGTTAAGATAAGAATCATTGTCCAGTTGATGAGTGGAAAGAAAAAAAAGTAGCTCTTGAAAGATAAAAATCTGCAAGGAAAATTGAGTAGGCGGGTGGCTGGAGAAGATGAACTAATCAGAGTTGATGACTAGAGGGACTGTGATTTAAAAAAAAGATTTAAAAAAAAAACACAATAAAACAGATGAAAAATAGTAAAAACAGGATAAAAATAACAAGCCCAAGGGAACAAAGATCTAGAAGAATATTCTCATGTCCCTAGATTAAGTTTCATGGCTCTGAAGAAGGCGTATTTGCCGAAACGTCAGCCACAAGCAACCGCGAAAACCCATCGACCGGAAAGAAGAACAATGGATCGGGTAAAAGATATCAACGTCGTGAAGCTTTGGATAAAGATTACTTTTCTAAGCTTTTCTTCTCATTTTCAAAGTTTTATAATAATAACATGCCGAGGTTTCCAGAAAGTCGGTCTTTCGAGATACTCTCATGCTTACAACGCCATTATCACTAACTTAAGGTTTTCTTCCAAATTCGCGCTCACTTCGGAAGAAAACACCTTCAAAACCCTCTTAGAACCACTGAAAATGAGGAGAATGGAAGTGTACAAGTTCATTTGAAATGAGACTAGATAGGAAATTTCTATTTTCAAAATCCTGAGAGTTTTCTGGGAAACTACTGAATAAAACAAAGAGTTGCGGAAATGTTAGGTCGCTCCATGATATCTGGCACTAAAGCAACAAACACTAAATTCTCTCATCAGTAATGAATAAAATTGGATGATTTCGTTACCGTTCAATTGCACATCTTCTCACAAACATCTTGGTTTACAATTTGCCTATACGTGCTTCAAAATGCAGTTGTCATAGGAACAAATTCGCTTGCTACTCATGCACGAATGGCACGTAGGGGAAAAAGCAGACGAAGCGGCGCGCAAGATTAATGAAGCTTCCTGTGGACGGCCCGAAGCGCGACTGATCCTCCAAGCTGTTCTCTCCAGCTTCGTGAACCACTTCCAGGTCGTTCTTTCTGTAACCTATCATTGCCGCGAGCTTCATTAATCTTTCGGGTCGTTTCATTAGCATTTTCCCTTACGCGCCATTCGTGCTGAATAGCAAGCGAATTTGTTCCCACGATAGCTCCGTCTTGGAGCACATATAGGCACATTGTATACCAAAATGTTCAGAGAAAATATGCAGTTAAACGACACCAGATTCATGCATTGTCAAGTACTTTTAGCTAGTAAATTCGGTACTTATTGCTGTAGTACCAAAACCTTTGAATCGATCTAATTAGAAATAATCTATCGAAGATTAGCACATCACATCGTTGATGTCAGTATTGGGAAAGTAGGTCAGATAACTTTCCCTCAACGTTTTTCTTTTGAGAGAAATCTTTGATTGATACTTTTTGGTTATAAGGGAACAAATGAATATTTGACCTCATTCGTTGTACAAGAATCTTTTATAGGAGTGTTAGTAATCATTCAAAAGCTTGAATGTCTAGCTAGCGCGGCACGTAGTCGGCTTTTCAAATCACCTATCTATAAAAGGATAAAGGATAAAGCTCTCGGCGTTGATCAATCCCTAAGGGATGCGCCATGCATTCGACTCCAATTCTAACTTCGTTTGAGGTGATTGAATGCATATCTGGCCTTTACATTGACTCGCGGAGGTCTCCCGCTAAACCGAGTCAGTGCTGCTTATCCTCCCAGACAAGTCTGATACCTGTCTGGTACCAATTTACCGACCCCGGAGGGATGGATGACTTGGTGAGCCATGAGCGCGAGATCGAACCATAAACCTCGTGTGCGACACAGGGCACCTCTAACCACTGCGCCATATGCGCTCATCACCTATCTATAACGCTGTAAAATTCAAAATAAAAACCTATTTCACACGACCATGGTTTTTTTCCTCACCTCGCTTATATTTCGCTGCATAAAACTCCTTCCTTGGAGTGCTAGTCCTTTTTCGAAAGCACAATCGATCGCGCTGGAGCGACTCACACCTATAGTGCATATTTTTGTTAATTAATACAAAATTTTCCTCCGATTTGAAAGAAACTTCAGATAAAATGATTGACTCAGAAATTGCGAGCTTTCCTCTACACATTTATATGCTTTTCGTGCTTCCAGCGGATTATACACGTGATAAAAAGAAAGGCATGCGGTCGATGTAAAACATAGTTTCATATTGGATTTTACAGCCTTATAAAAGAGTGTATTCAAAAACCGGCCACATAGGGCTGCAGCCAGACACTTGAGCTTTCGAAAGATTACTGAAAATCTCATGGAAAATTTTTATTTAACGAACGAGGTCAAATATTCATTTGCTCTCTTATAGACGAATACCCTTTGAGCTTGATCAATTCTTCGTATATTTGACAGTTTAGCTGAGCCTTTAATGATCAATGGGGGCTTTCAAATGAAAAAAGGCTTCCGATAGACCGCATATAGATATTCCATATGTACTATATAACATGAAAATACATTAATGATATAGTACGTTCAAGGTTATTGAGTGAAATCCAAACTTCTGACCCTGGGCGGGGTTGAACCTGCATTTCACCCATCCCGAGGGCGAGTTCAGCCCCACCAGGGATCGAAATTTTGCATATCGTTCAGTAGCTGTGAATGATAATACACTATAACACTGCTGTAAGAGCGGCGAAATAAGAAAAAAACTCCTGCGGATGACACTGTAATAGTGGTAGTAAGGGCGGTGGCGACGGTGGTGTGGTGGTAGAACGCGCCCCGGGTAGGGGTGGAACGGGGGTTCAATTCCCGCCTGGGATCTTGACAGTCTTAAGTAGATCGTTGTTACACTACAAATGTGTAATCGTCAAAAATACAGAAGGTGCGAAGCGTTCGCATTACGTTCACAGGAGGAGGCCTTATCTAACGAAGCCAACTACGATCTTCGTTGCGAAAAAAGGCTAGGAAAAACTGACAGACACTTCTGCTCCTGTTGAAAACCCCTTATTTTCCCTGGAAATGCTTACGAAAATCCTAGAAAACCCTTCTTAGTTTCGGAAGTTCTCATAAAACAGATAGATTTCTAGCAATTTCCCAGCAATCACCTGGAATTTCTTCGAAAAAAAAGGACAAAAAAACCTCCACTTTATGCAATCAATAAAAAAATCGATAAGAGATGGAAGAGAAGGGAGACGAAAAAGAAAAAGAGAAGAGAAGAGAGAAAAAGGAGGAAATAAGGGAGGATTTGAACGATGACTGGCGCCCGAGGTATTGATCAAAGCAGAACTGAGGGAGTCGCGCGCGTCAAGGTGACCTCCCGGAGCGCCCGCGCGCGCGCGCTCAAATCCAATTTGAATTTCACCTCACCCGCCGCAATTCGCAAATTCTCTCTCTCTCTCTCTCTCTCTCTCTCCCTCTCTCTCTTTCAGACAGACGAGAAACGACAATTTACTGCTATTACGCCTCTCTCGTTCATTTCTAATAACCTTATAGCTAAAAGGATAAAGCTCTCGGCGTTGATCAATCCCTTAGGGATGCGCCATGCATTCGACTTCAATTTCTAACTTCGTTTGAGGTGACTGAATGCATATCTGGCCTTTACAATGACTCGCGGTGGTCTCCCGCTGAACCGAGTCAGTGCTGCTCATCCTCCCAGACAAGTCTGAGACCTGTCTGGTACCAATTTACCGATCCCGGAGGGATGGATGGCTTGGTGGGCCATGAGCGCGAGATCGAACCACTGACCTCGTGTGCGACGCAGGTCACCTCTAACCACTGCGCCACATGCGCTCTTAATAACCTTATACATCACGAAAATCGATTTTATGGCGTTTTCGAACGGATTTCCGCCTAATTTTGGGCGTTCTAAGTGATCTCTACAACTCCTGAATTGCTGGCTTTGTCGACTATAAACATCCTCTAAAGGACTGAAGTCTACCAGTAGTCTAATTGAAAAGGAAATCTCTGAGTTCTTTCGAAAGTCAGTTCTTGGAATTTGTTGTTCGAACAGATATGTGAACAATTCCGCGCTCTAATCCAACACTCCTGCTCCATTGCCATATATCTTCGGGGGTCAAAGGTTTTTTTATTTCGTTTTATTTCATTTCGTTTTATTTTATCTTGTTTTGATCTGTTTCGTTTTCCTCTTGCTTTTTGTGCTCTTATTTTACTTAATAGCCTATTAACCGCATTTAGCGAAAGTATGGTGTTATAGGGAGCGCACGTGGCGCAGTGGTTAGAGGTGCTGTGCGTCGCGCACGAAGTCGGTGGTTCGAACTCGCGCTCATGACTCACCAAGCCATCCATCCCTCCGGGATCGGTAAATTCGTAGAGACTGGTCTCAGACTTGTCTGGTAATAAGCAACGCTGACTCGCTTTAGCGGGAGACCATCGCTAGTCATTGGAAAGGCCAAATATGCATTCAGTCATCTCAAACGAAGTTAAAGATTGAAGACGAATGCATGGCGCATCTTTCAGGGATTGATCTGCGCCGAAAGCTTTATCCTTCACCCTTTTATGATGCTATAGATATCTCCAATGATGTGGAGTGATGTACAAAAGTTTTGCGTCAGGCGGGACTCGAACCCGCAATTCACCCTGTCCGGCGGCGCGTGCTTTCATCCGTTGCACTATCGATGACTGTCTTGTCACCACTCTTTCTACGCTTCATCCACTGCTTGAAGCGGATAAATGAAAAGAATTCTGTTTCATCATGCAATACCCAATATCTGTGAGCGTGACTGAGTCCAATGTCGAAATCGACTACCAGAGCCAAACTGTTGACGGTCGGTTGCTGATAGAGAGATGCGTTAAACCGAGAAACAATGGTGGCAAAACGGGCGTCGGTAGCGCAATGGGGTAGAGCACGCGCCCTCGGATAGGATGTAATGCAGGTTCGAGTCCCGCCTGACGCAAAATTTTGCAAATCACTCCACATCATTGGTTATAATATCTTATTTTTTTTTACCTTTCAAAATTCAGTATTTCATAGCCTTTAACTTATAATTATTTTTTAAAATCGTGGGATTCGTTTTCGTTTTTATACGCCGCCGTTTTTACCCTAATCGCTCCTCACTTCATTCAATAGGCTAAGTCAACCACTTCGTGTACTTTCTGGAATTCCATTATTTTTATTCTAAAGCGGAATGGGTTCGGGACAGTCGTCATCAGCTGAGCCAGTGAGTTCAGTCGATTATCTTCCTTCTCCTGTCATTCATTTTGATCTCAACCTTACAGGTCACTTCGCCAGATTACCTAAGGCATCAAACTGATGGTTCAAAGGCAGACATATCAGAGTCGGAAAGGTTAAAACACGCTCGACGATCAATGGCTGCTGCGGGTTAGTATCCCTCTTCCGCGACCATGGACCCAATCCTCTGCGTCTCTAACCTTCGGCGTGTTGCGTCTAACAGTGGCGGTCAGTTCCCAGCGTGGCAGTGCTAGACGCACCACACTCCTTTGTCAACCGGAACATGTCCCATTGTTAGACGCAACACACTGGAGGTTAGAGAGGCAGAGGGTTGGGTCCACGGTCCTCAAATGGTTAATCCTTTGCGGACGGCGAGAGTCAAGTTTTTCTCTTAGATATTTTAAGGTTTTTTCGCTGGACAGAACTTTTTCCTAAAATGTTGGTAGTTATTTGAAAGCCTAAATCCCAATGATTTGAGCACCATGCTTGAGTTTTGAAAAGGCCTTCTTTTTACGCTGTGGGATCATAAATAATATCATGTTTCACACTCGCGGTACTCTGCTGGCCCGGCTAGGGGCTGAAGAGCTTGTCATTAGGCTATGCTAATACTCATGAGATAGCAAAAATCTCGGCGATTCCGAAGCTGAATTTGGTTTCTAAAGAAGCTTTATATTGAGCTATAGGATTGAGAAGAACATCACAATTCACGCTCGGAGGTACTTTCTCACATAAAAGTTGTGTGTGCACAGAAAGTATGAGCTTGTAGAGGAAATCTTCTAGTGTCAGAGTAATACAGGAAGTTTGAACTTTCCTCTCCAAAACCACAGATAACCTCACCAAATAACGAAAATCGCGCGTCGCTTGCGAAAATCGATCAACTCCCGTTCACTCGAGTCAGCCCATTGAGTGGTTATTTCTTCTATTAATTGGGTTTTCTCTTCTTATTATGTGGTGATCATTCCTGGCGAGGATATTTTGTTGAATTTTGATAATTTCAAGGCCAAACGGGTTGCCCAAAGGCTGCTGAGAGGGCAGATCAGCAAAGAAGTAAAGTGAGCGAGGGTTGTAGCGGCTGCCCCATGGATGGCGAATCTGTCAACCCTTTGAACAACGTGGGTTCTTCTAAGTTTTTTACAAGAACAGCTCTTGTCTTATCGTGATTCTCTATCAGTACGAATTCCTTATCTTACTACATTTTAGCACTATCATGTTGCTTTGAATTATACATTTTAGAATGTCGAATGATATGCAAAGCATTCGGCCCCAGATGAGAGTTGAAGCCTGGTCTTACCCGTACCGGGGTCGCGTGCTAGCACTCGAGCACCGAGGCCACCACTCGGCTACCACTTGGTCCTTGATCTAAACTAGTGTGACTCTCAGTCGATATGTACTCAACAGACCAGACTCGTTCAAGTTGATTGCTAACAGCCTTGATAGTTTATATCGAAGGAAGAGTGGTAACGAAGCGGTGGTATTCGTGGTGTAGTGACAGCATGCACTTCCAGATTGGGGGACGTGAGTGTTCGACTCCTGCTTGGATCGAATGTTTTGCATGTCGGTTAGCAGTCTTAGATGTATGATTTCTTATTTCCGACATGAATAACCCTCAATTATTTGCACTGAAGTATGAAATGTGTTCATACCTTTCTTATAACTGTGAAAGGTATGACATCGTCAAGGTTATAAAGGAAATCCCTTAGGTTTTAGGAGCTGGATCATCCGAACCAAAAGCCAGCACCAGGCCAACCGTTTCCATTGCCATTGACGCGAGAAAAGTCCTCCATACCCAAAGTATGGCTTTTTTTCTACTCACAAACAGTTTCTATCTGTAAATAGAAAGTGATATAGGCTGGTACTAACGACACATGGACGTATCCAAGTCCACAGATGTTCTGGAATGCAATGTTGAAGTGAGTACAGCTCTTTTTTGGCGTATCGTGTGTGAAGACACCTCAGATTTCTGTACCTCTTGAGTTAGCAAGTTGTCTATGTTCATTTTTACTAAGCAAGAAGAATGTTTCGAAATCATAGTATTTCTACTGCTTATTTCGCAGTGTTATGATGTTATTTATATAACTTAGGGAATTGAGTGGTGAGCGAAAAACACGGCCTCAGGCGGGAATCGAACCCGCGTTTCATCATATCCAAGGACGCGTGGTTTTTGCTCGCCACTCAGTTCTCTAAGTTATATAAATAACATCATAACACTGCGAAATAAGCACTAGAAATACTATAATTTCGAAGTATTATATATAACAATAGCTATCAGCTTAACGGGATTTATAAAGCGGAATCGCATAACCGACCAAACCTGTTAAAGGTTGGTGGCTGATAGCTTATATAGAGATGTTAAAGAATGAGTGGTCGGGCAAATGTGCAAATGTGCCTCGGTAGGGTAGTGGTTAGATCACGCGTCCCCGGATAGGATGGAAAGCGGGTTCGATTCCCTCCTGAGACCGTGTTTTTGCATACCACTCAATTCTCTAAGTTGTGAAAGAAAAATGTTTTATTTTGAGCGACTTGCACTTTAGAGCATTATCTGAACACAGTGATATTATCAATAATGAAAATGATACATTGATCCATCAATGACGACAGTTATACAGACGTTGTTATACAAAGAACTTTTAGGCCTTATCTTCGAGAATCCATAAATATGAAGTGTAAACGACACCATGGTCTTACTCTGGACTCGTGTAGCGTATTGGTTAGAAATGCACTGCGGCTCACTCTTGGTCGTTGGTTCAATCCCGCTCCCACGGCTCATCACCATGCTTTCCGCTTCTGTGGGGTAAGCGAGTCGCTGCCAGACCTCTTTAGGAGGATGACAACACTGACTTGATATGTCGATAGGTCACGGACAGTCGTTGTGAAGGCTAGAATTGCGTTCAGTCACCTCTGAAGATTATTGATGAAGTCGAATGCGCATCCCTCAGGGAGAGATCAGCGCTAACAGCTTCTTGTAGTATCCTTTTAGAGTATGGCTCTCTTAGAGGATAAAGCAATACATAGAGTCGACGCTTCTGCTGCACTGTTTCGAATGTTGTAATCGTACCTCTAATGTCAATCTAATACTCACCGTAAGAAGAAGATAAACTCGACGTTAATCAGTTCCTAAGGAATTCATCATATATTCGTCTACAGCCAGCATTTGAGGTGGTTGAATGCACATCTGACTTCAACAAAGACCCGCGATGGCCTAGCGATATGTCAAGTTAGTACTGCTATACTCCCAGACTAGTCTGGCACCAGTTTGCCGACTCCGGACGGATAGAGGTCTAGTTAGTCTTGGGCGCAGTATTGGGCCATCGACCAAATGTGCAGCGAATGCAGGTTTGTCAAGTCAATCCTGCTATTCCCCAGAGAAGTCTGGTACCAATTCACCAATCCCAAAGGGATGGAGGGTCTGGTGAGCCGTGGGTACAGGATCAAACCATGCCAGGTGAAGGTCGCAGGGCACCTCTAGCCAATGCGACACACGCGCCCTGTACTCGTGCACGTCTTCAATCTAGGCTAGTTATACACGCATAAATTAATAAATATTAGTGAAGTTTATATATATATATATATATATATATATATGGCTTATCGGTCCTTTTTAAAAGTGTCCTTTGGAAGTGGAACTTCACCAAGACTTTCTGCTGTTGAAGTTTATATGTTTTAGAAAAGGATGGCGTTGGGAAGAAGATCAACTCACTGAAAAAGACATGGACAATATTATCCGAATTCATAACGCCAACAACGAAGAGGCTTGGCGAGAGGTCCTAAAGTGGGAGAATCTACTACATCCGTAAGTCTTTTTTTTTTTTGGTTTTCTCGCGAAAGGGAACGTGCCATTTTCAGATAGTCACTTGTGTAGCGTACCCTTTGTGAGTAGCATTCTATTTGATTGAAGACGCATGTGGCGCACTGGTTAGAGGTGCCCTGCGACCCTCTTCTGGCATGGTTCGATCCTGTAGCCAACTCATCAGACCCTCCATCCCTTCGGGATTGATAAATTGGCACCAGACTTCTCTGGGGGATTAGCAGGATTGAGTTGACACACCAGCAAGCCATCATGAGTCGCTGTAAAGACCAGTTTACTTTTCCGTTATCTGAGCGCCGTTTGGACCCCTTTTAGAAAACGTATTTCTTGGTCATTTTCTCATATAGTTCGTTTCGATAGCACAGATTGAAAAGAATTTAAGTGGTATATCTTATCTTCAGAAAATCTTATTGTGCTGAAAAGCAAGAATGAAATTTTGTTTCTCATTGAAATTTTCTCGCTGGTCAAAGCCTTTCCTTTGGAGTTTTACTAGCCATCGATAGATCAACTCTCAAGGATTCCAATGATCTATATGGTTTTCTTGATGGACCTGGTATTACGCTATAACAGCCGAAAGAAGATTGGGTTTCGCAAAAAATGGCTCACTCTAACTATCCTCTCTTTGATTCGATCCATTGGGAAAACGTATTTTTCGATCGTTTTCAGTGTTTGAATAACCAATCGATACCTCAACTCAAAGTAATTTGAATGGTATATTTCACTTCCAAAAAGGCCGATATTGCGCTGAAAGAACACAAACAATAATTGGTTCCTCATTCGAATATTTCGCGCTGACCAGGGCCTCTCTCTTTTAGTTTTAAGAGCCAAATGATAGACCAAATCTCAAGAGTTTCAATAATGTTTTTAGTTTCTTGAACGGACCCCTCAGTGCTTCATAAACACCAAAAGAAAATTGGGTT